CTAAAAAAAAAAAAAAAAAAATCAATAAAAAATATTTTAAACAATTGTGCTATATCATGCAATGAGAAAAAAGAGCAGTTAAAGGAATAAGCAATGTAGGGTGTGGGGTTGTAATGTTAAGTAAGGTAGTCAGGGAAAGCCTCAATGAGAAAGCAATATTTGAGTAATGATCTGAGAGTTAAGGGAGGTGAGCATTTCTCGGAGAGGGTACACGAGAAGACCTCTGTGAGTGAGGAAGGAGGAAGGAGGAAGGAAGGACAGACAGTGAGATACAAGGTTTGAGAGATGAGGCTGGAGGAAGCTGGGAATTAGGATGGGCGTAGAGTCCTATGGGCCATAGTAAAGACTCTAAGTGTCATGTAAAGCCATCAGAGGAGTCTGCACAAGGGAAAAGCATGATTGAAACAGACATGATGTACTGCAACTGGCCTCCCACTCTCCTCTCACCTCATCCCAAACTCCTCACTAAACTGACCTCTAAATCTGAGAAACAACTTTAAAAATCTCATTTAATCCCTTTATTAATCTAATACTGATGACTGCATTTTTTTAAATTTTTTTTTTTTTTACTGAAACACCCCTCCTTTGCTGCTTCTCTGGTTTTCCTCCAATGTCTAGAAACTATTCTATGGTCTTCACATTATTTTCTTTCTCCATTTGTCCCTAGGGACTATGTTACCTTCATTTCTTACCTATTAGCCCCAGGTGAAGTCACCTGTGTCCACAGTTTCAACAATCACTTACACAGCAATGACTCACAAGGCCATATCCAGCTCATATCCCTCTTCTTCTAGAGCAGAGATTTCCAGTATTTCCAGTCATCTACCAGATGATGTCCTTGATATTCCAGGGAAACCCCAACTCACATGCCTCAAACTGAAGTCATCATGTCACTAATGCCCTAGTCATGCATAAAATAATGAGACCTTTCTTCCTAAAGGCTACTCTCGTATCACAACTTCTGATCTATAATAAAATAAAGACAATAGTGTGGTGAAGGCCTGGGGCGGGGTGAGGGGGTGGGGACGTGATGGAAAGGGTCAATGGGGAGAAAAAGGGACATCTGTAATGCTTTCAACAATAAAGATAAATTTTAAAAATAATAATTTCAAATAGTACCTTACTAATTACCTAAGTTATTTTAAAAGCTCACCTGTGTGTTTCAGCTTCTTTTTCTTTCCTCATTTGTGTCAGTCGCTTTTTTGCTTTGATAAATTTTCTAATCTTTTCATCTTCCTCCTCTTGCTGCTGCTGTTCTACAGCTTTAATGATATTTTTATCACTCATATGTTTCTTGGAGAGAAAAAAAACTCTGTATTATCCTATCAAGAAAAATATCTTTCAACATATAAATAACAAGAACCAGTCAAATGGTCACAGCTTCTGATCCAGTTATTTCTCTCTTGGAAATTGATCCCAAAGAGATCATCAGAAATATGCACTAAGTTTTAAGTACCATGTACTTTATCTCAAAGTTATTTATAATGGTGACAAGTTGGAAACAACCTCTAAATATTCAATAATGGAGAAATGGTTCAGTAAATTATACTCAGTGACATGGGAAGAATACAAATAATACAAATAATCAGTTAGTTGGGGGCAATAGAATATAAACACTAAATAGCATATCTTAGCAAAAATATAAATACAAGTTTATAATGTATATATAACTGGAAGAAATATATTAAATGTTAATATCAGTTATCTTTGGGGTATGAGATTATAAGTCACTTTTACATCTTAATGATTTTCTGTATTTCTTTTCAAATATCTAATTTCTTTAAAAATATGCAATTAAAATAATTCAATAATCAGAAAAACAATTTAAATTCAATGTTTAAATAGTTAATACAGTCACATGGCACACACATTAAAAATATTTAAAAGATACCTATCCCATTCACTATCTATCTGCCTATTCCTAACACTGCCCACCAGACCCAATCACTGGGAAACTAATTCCTAGTCCAGACTTTGTTTTAGTGCATATACAAGAAAATATACAGATGTATATTCTAAAAAACTTTAATAGGTAATTTTTTATTTTTTATTTTATCACTATCATTATTTTTTAATCCTTACTTGAGGACATGTTTTTATTGATTTTAGAGAGAAAGGAAGGGGGGAGAGAGAGAGAAACATCAATGTTAGAGAAAAACATCGATGGGTTATCTCCCACATGCAGCCTGACCAGGGATGGAACCTGCAACCTTTTGGTATATGGGAAGATGTTTCAATCAACTGAGCCACCCAGCCAGAAAAAAAAGGTAATTATTTTTTAAAACAAAAAATAAAAATCTGTACATATCAGCATACATTCCATGACCCAACCTGAATTAGTCACCATAAAAATAGATACCTTTGAACACAATAGCCTGGATATACAAATATATTAGTGTATTCTGCTATATATTTAGAAACCAATTCAAGGTGAAAGTTATTAGATTTAACATTTAATCTCCAATATATTTATAACTCAGGGTCTACTTTGTGCTTAGCACTCTTAATTATTCTTCTATTTTATTGGTTGCTACTTTTGAAAGCCTGTAATATGGTTAAGGAGATGCATTGATGCATTAATCAACATGAAAAGCTAATGAAAATACAAAACTGCTAAAACTGATTGTTTTGAGCCCTGGCCAGGAGGCTCAGTTGGTTGGAGTGTCATCTCGTACACCAAAAGGCTGATGGTTCAATTCTGGGCAGGGAACGTACTAGGTTATGGGTTCAGTCCCTGGTCGGGGTGTGTAGGGGAGGCAGCTGAGTGATGTTTCTCTTTCACATTGATGTTTCCCTCTCTCTCTCCCTCTCTCTCTGTCTCCCCACCCTTCTTCTCTAAAATCAATTAAAAAAAAAAAATCCTTGGGTGAGGATTAAAAAAAAAGTGATTGTTCTGAATGATTTCTTAGGAGTTTTATTTTGTTGCCTGGTTGGTGTGGCTCAGTTGATTGAGTGCCATCCCATGCACCAAGGGGTCATGGGGTTCGATTCCTGGTCAGGGCACATGCCTGGGTTTCAGGCTCGATCCCCAGTAGGGGGCGTGCAGGAGGCATCGGATGGATGATTGGTGTTTCTCTCTCTCTCTCCCTCTCCCTTTTCTCTCTCTGAAAAAAATAAAATAAAAATATATTTTAAAAAACACCACAATGTCATTATTTTTAAAAAGTTTTGTTTTTTCTAAGTTTATTGTAATGTTCATACAGAATATTTATAATGATAAAACTATAGAGGTAATTAACATAAAGTTAATTCTCATTTTTAAAAATTGAAAGCCTCAGCTCAAGATCACACAGCTAGCCCAGCCAGTGTTGCTCAGTGGTTGAGTGTCTACCCATGAACCAGGAGGTCACCATCCGATTCCTAGTCAGGGCACATGCTCTAGTTTTGGGCTTGGTCCCCCGTAGGGGGCATGCAGGAGGCAACCTATCAGTGACTCCCATCATTGATGTTTCTGTCTCTCCCTCTGCCTTCTTCTCTCTGAAATCAACAAAAACAGATTTACCAAAAAAAGGAAACTCTTACCTTAAAAAAAAAAAAATACATAGCTAGTAAGTGACAGAGTTAGGTTTCAAAACAAGGTCTGTCTCATTCCAAAATGACTTGGAAATATAAAAATATTGCATCCATGAACCTAGAATAAGATTTTATGCAAAAAGGACAATAAAATTACAACTCTTATAAATTAAAACTTTGACAACTAAAAAACTCAAGAGAAGGGCCCTGGCCAGTGTGGCTCAGTTGGTTAGAGCATCATCCCATGCACTGAAAGGGTCTCGGGCTGGATTCCCAGTCAGCGCACATACCCACTGTGGGTGCAATCCTCAGTCATGTGCACATGGGAAGAAACCGACTGATGTTTCTCTCTCACATCAATGTTTCTCTCAATCTCTCCCCCTCTCCCTTCCTCTCTAGAATCAATGAAAAATATATCCTCAACTGAGAATTTAAAAAATTTAATAGAAGGCTTAAAGACAAAGTTGAGGATAACTCTGAAAGTTGAACAAAAAAACAAAAATGGCAGGAATAATTAATTGCCTACCCAGGATTCTTTCTTGTGTTCTGCATTAGTAACAGGACTCAGATTTTGTTAAGAGTTGCCCGGCCGGGCGTGGCTCAGCGGTTGAGCGTTGGTTGACCTGGGATCCAGGCGATCGGGGTTCAATTCCCGGTCAGGGCACATGCCCGGGTTGCAGGCTCGATCCCCAGTCTGGGGTGCAGAAGGCAGCTGGTCAACGACTCTCTCATCATTGATGTTTCTGTCTCTCTCTCTCCCTCTCCTTTCCTCTCTGAAATCAATAAAGATATATTTTTTTAAAAAAAAGAGGAGCCATATGCTCAGCTAAATGACTATATTTCCAAGGTTTCATTTCACCTGGGTGTGGCTAAATTATAACCAGTGAGATTTAATGGAAATTGTTTAGTGAGACTTCCAGAAAAGTTCCTTAAAAGGAGAGCAGATAGTTAGGGCACTCTTTTTTTTAAATCTTCACCCAAGGATATATTTTTAAATTGATTTTACTTTTTAGAGAGAGAGTGAGAATGAGATAGAGAGAATGAGAGAGAGAGAGAAACATCACTTGGTTGCCTCCCATAAGCACCCTGACCTGGGATCAAACCCAGAGCCTAGGTATGTGCTCTGACCGGAAATCGACCTTGCGACCTTTCGGTGCCCAAGATGACGGTCCCACCAGCTGAGGCACCCGGCCAGGGCAGGGCACTCTTTTTTGTCCTCCATCCTTTCTTCTTTCTTGCTGCTTCGAATGTGGACATGAGGCAGGAGCTCCAGCAGCTGTTCAGGGCCATGAGGCAACCTTGAGGACAGAAGCCATGTATGTTCCAATAATAGCGAAGCAAAAAAGAGAAGCTATCTCAGCTGAGCTGAATCTTCAACCACCAGGGCAAAGCCACAGAAAATGTCTAAAATTGAGAAATCAATATATACTCTATCTTTATACCTTAATATATAAGATAACTCATTTTAAGAATAGGAAAATGAATTCATTTGAAAAATAAAAAGCCTCATTCTCTTATTTCTTGTTCATGCATGAGAGCACATCCACATAAAACCACAGCAAATACAGCTCCCCCCAAATAGACTTAGAAACCCAATTTAATAGCAACTTGTTTTCTAACCCACTATTATTTATAAAAAGTATATTAAAATTTAGACATTGGACTTTGTATATATTTTGAAGAGATGCTGTATTTTCAACTTACAAAAAATAGTTTCCTCCTTTCGTTTATCTCTTCTTTTTTCTTTTCTAGTGTTTTTCTCATTTCTATTTCATATAATGAATTCTGTCGCTTTATTTCCTCAGTATCCTTTTCTTCACATTTTCTCCTTATTTCTTCTTCCTCTTCATGTTCCTTTATTCTAAAACAAACCAAAAAAAAAGGTTATATTTTAAAGAAATGAATTAGATTATAATTTGGGATGACTTGAAGCTATAAGGAAAAACTGGTGGATTTCTTTTGGGGGTGGGGCAAGGAGACAAGACATATATAAAGAGTAGTGGTTAAAAACAAATCCAAATTGGTTGGCCCAGAATTGCCAATATTTCCCTTTCTTTGAAATTTGTTTCATTCCTCATCAAAATTAAGTCCTACACTAGGACTTCAGATATTCCTATCCTTTAGGAAGAACCAATTAACTGATGGAATGGTGCCACTATTTTTCAGAAAAATCCCTAATCCCTAGTGCTCAGTTTCAGCACTAGGCGATGCTATCCAAGCTATGGGGTCTACCCGCTCAGGCTTTGATGGAAGGAGAGAAACAAAGGTTTCCTCATCCAACTGGCCACTTTGGTTGTCACTCCTCCTGCAGCCAACACTGACTAGCTATTGATGCCTTCTGAGTGGTAAGCCACTAAATGCTGGTTCTCTCAAAGGGCTTAATATGTGAGTTTTTTAGATTTCCCTAAGCAGCCTCCTCACTGCAGAGCTCTGATCTGAAAGATTTAGCTCCAGGTCCACCTCTTAAACCCACCTCCCAAGACCCACCACTATCAACCATCACTACAGGAGATTCCTCCATCAGTTTATTGCAGGCTCTGAGTGCCCTCCTCTGGCCATCAATCCTCTGCATGCTGGCAAGACAGCTAAAGCCTGAGATATCTACTTGCCCATGGGTTCCTTGTCAGCCAATTAACAAGTGTGCAGGCTGTTCCACTACCACTATCTGCTGTCTCTAGTTTTTTTATTCCTGAACAGATAGGCACAGGGTAGAGCAACAATCTACTTAAATGGACTAAAAGACTGAGTAATAAACTTTTCTTTCATATGTTCGTGATCAAAAACTTTTTTTCTTGGAGTGTTATGCTGATCTCAGAGCCTGATGAACATCTAGACTACAATGAAGATAAGCCAAAGAAACAACTAAAGGAAATCCTAAACCTGCTTGAACCTCTAAACTATTGCCCAAGAACACTCGGAAAAGTGATGCTGTGGCCCAAACACAGCCTATGTGCAAAGGCTATAGGTGTGCAGATGGCCTGTGAAGGTGTTAGCACTTGCTAGGTAGCCTGCTAGAGATTAAGCTGCTACCTGTAATTATCTCTGGGCTAAAGCAGACAATATAAAAAGAGGGATTTCTTAAAGGTGACTCACTGGTCAAATATTTGCCTTCCTTTGCCAAGGGCTCTGTCCCTAACTTGCACAAAGCCTTGGCTCTCTACACTGCCAAACAAAAAAATTATAATAAATCCAAAGATTACTCTTCTCTTTTTACTAAGTGTTAAAATAACTGTAGAATACAGTCTGGCAACACATACATCTTGAGAATTGATGTCTATGTCACTTACACATTTGTGATTTTGAGAAATAAAGATATATACAAAACCAAAATCGTAACAAAAAGATTTGAACACATACAAATAAATATCTTCTAACTACTGAAAACCATTCAGAAAAGATGACCAAAATCTGCAGTCTAATAAATTAGTAATATTGAGATATAAAAAGCTGCTTATTAATCAGTTTTTAATAAATGGCAAACATACACACCAATATGCAATAACCTACACAAGAGAACAATGCAGTACTCAATTCATGATAGAAACCTAAACAAATGAACATTCAGATATGAAAAAATGTTCTGCCTCACTAAAATTACTAGAAATCTAAATTAAATGACACGATATTTTTGCCCACTAACTTACCAGAAAAAGTACTATCCAGAATTGGTTATAGTAGAAAGGGCATCAGACATCATAAAATGTGAGTATATATATGCTCAGAAAAAGTAAAAGTCTGTATCAATGATTTTCAGGGGCTGAGGGTAGGGGATAGAATTTAGTGCAAAGGGGCATGGGGGAACCAATTTTGGGTAATGAAAGTGTTCTCTATACTGATTTGGGAGTGGTATACAGCTCTATGCTTTTAAAAAGGTGAATATTATTAACTGTGAATTATATCTCAATGAATCCAACCCCCTTCACTCACAATCAAAAAAGGTCTATATGGCTATATAATGAAGCAATAACAGATTATTGTGGTGGATTCGATTATTATTCAAATAGGCTCTCTCTCTCACTCCCCACTTCCATGGGAGTCTATTTCTCTGGTCCACTGTTGTTAGGCTTAGCCATGTGACTTGCTTTAGACTCCTGGTAGGCCGTGTATTTCCTTGACCTTTGACTTTGGGTTTAGCTCTTGCAAGCTTGGGCGCATTCTCTCTCGTCTTTGTCAATACCATAAGAAAAGGTTCCCCCATATGGCTGCTGTCCCTTCATCTAGGACTTCAGGATGCATACACATGGAGCAGATCAGAGCCTTGCCCACAACAAGCAATTCCAGCCAATCCTGCAGTTTGAGGAAAAGCTGCCAGCCAAGTCCAGCCAACCCACAGATAAATAAATGTTTATTGGTGAATGACACTAAATTGTGTGGTGGTTTGTTCTGCAGCCTCATTGTGGCAATATAACCAATATATTACCTTTGGGTAAGGGTGTAATAATGATTTTTACCCTCTTTCCCTGTATTTTTTTCTACTTACTAGGTATTTTATCATGTATTATTTTTATAAGCAGGAAAAAAAGCTGTATCCCTTATGAGAAAAAGAGGAAGGCGCAAAAACTGGTGATTTATAGATACATACTGTTTCAAATGATCGTTGGCAAGGGCCACTCTATCTCTGCGTCGTTTTGCTGCTTTTTCTTGTTCTTCCTTAAAAGCTTGTTCAATGTTGAGCTTCAATTGTTCCTCCCATTTTTTATCTGATTTTATTCTACTCTTTTGGTTTTCAATCTGTGCATCACGTTCTTTCATCACTCTACTAAGAATAAGTCCCGACTAAAAAAAAAGAAAAAATGGCAGTCTCTTAAGAAAATAAAGTCTAATTATGTATAAATATGTTAAATATATATAAAAGTACAAGAAAACCCAAAGTACATGGAAGTGTTTCACTCTTTCTGTCTGGTAAAATTGATATTGCTTTGCACGCTCAATGGCCTTTTTTCTTTCTCCCTGTTTTTGTATTGCTTCTTCCATATCAAGGATCTGTCTTTCTGCCTCTAGTTCTTTATCACGCTTCTTTTTGGCTTCAAGTTTCTGTTCTTTCATACCCTGCAAAAAAAGTAAGCAGCAGTCTTCAGTTTTTATTTTTCAATTAAATTTTACAAAATTTAACATTATATGATTTGAATTTTCATTATTAGTCTTTATTGTATTGGCATTTATCATTAATAAATAAAATACGAAGTTACACTCATGAGCTGATTTTTTAATTAAATTTTTTAGGAAGATAACACATTTATATCGTTGAAAATCTCAAAATACTATAAATGTACACAGCAAAACTCTCCCTCCAATCCTAATTTCCATCTACAATCTCGAAGATAACCACTATTATGTTTCTTGTGTTTACTTCCAAAGTACCTTCATATATTTAAATAATAAATATATATTACTACTTTTGTTTCTTTAAAAAAATCAACAGTAGCATATTTTCCATGCTCTTCTACACCTCTGAGGAGTCTACCCAATGTCTCATGTCAGATGAAGTCTTTCTCCTCCTTTATGGGTCATATTTTCTATGTCTTCTTTTTTAAAATATATTTTCTATTGATTTCAGAGAGGAAGGGAGAGGGAGAGACAGATAGAAAAATAAATGATGAGAGAGTGTCACTGATTGGCTGCTTCCTGCACACCCCCTGCTGGGTATCAAGCCCATAACCCAGGCATGTGCCCCAACCAGGAATCAAACCTCGATCTCCTGGATTATAGGTCAATGCTCAACCTTTGAGCCACACTGGCTGGGCTATTTTCTATGTCTTAAGAAAATCTTACTTACCCTGAAACCCTGAAGATATTCTATGATTTATTTTAAGAGTTTTACTGTTTTGCTTTTCACATTTAGTTCTTTAATCAGCTGAAATTCATTTTTGTATATTTTGCACCATAGGGATATAATTTAATCATTTTCATATGGCAATTATCTCAGTATCAGTTATTGAATTCCTATCCTTTCCCTTCTGATTTGCAATGACATTTCTGTCATACATCAAGTTCCCATATATAACATGGGATTGTTTCTAAGCTCTCTCTTCTGATCTATTATTTTGTCAATTTCTGTGCCTATTATTACAGTTTTTACTACTACATTTACTACATTTCATCCTTTTCTTTAACATCCATGAGGTGTAAAGTTTTTTGTGTAGTGTGCTACTTCTGCGTTTATATATATATATATATATACACATATATATACACACACACACACATATATATATATGTATATATATATATATATATATATATATACACACATATATATATATTTATTTTTTTTTAATTGATTTCAGAGAGGAAGGGAGAGGGAAAGGGAGAGAGAGAAACATCAATGATGAGAGTCATTGATCGGCTGCCTCCCACGTGCCCACCCACTGGGAATCAACCACCCAACCAGGAATCAAACCCCAGTCTCCCAAATCATAGGTAAACACTCAACCTCTGAGCCACTCGGGCCAGGCTACTTCTGCATTTAAAAAAACACACAGGAGGTATATTCCACTCCCTTATCCCTTTAAGGACAGAGGTGTTTTTAGAGCATAATTTACACACATCCTTTTTTGATGTATTGTTTTTAAAATGCTTACCATCACTTACAGTTCTATCCTCTGAAAAAATTCCCTCAGCTCCTGTTTATAGTGAATCACTCCCCCCACCTGCAGCCCCAGCAACCACTGATCTGTTTTCTTTCCCTATAGTTTTGCCTTTTTCAGAATGTCATATATTATGTGTATGATATCAGTCATAATATAATTCTTCCCTCTTCCAGGAAAAAAAAGAATAAATTATGAACACTGTTCCTAAAGCAAGGTACTACTAGCGTCCTATGTCCCTTCCCAAAAATAAATAATATATATTGTGACAAATAGCTCACATTAATGTTTCTCTCTCTCTCCCTTCCTCTCTCTAGAAAAATTAAAAAAAAACATGTCCTTGGGTGATTATTTAAAACAATTTTTTAAAATAAAAATTTAAACAAGAGAAGATATACAGATAGAAAATAAGTTCATGGAAAGATGTTCAATATCATTGTACTTAGAGAAATTCAAATTAAAACTACAATGAGATAATACTTTACCCCCATTAGAATGTCTATAATTAAGAATTATGTTGAGAATGTTTGACCACAGCAAGTTGGTAAGATTGTGGAGGAAACAGAACTCTCATAAACTCCTGGTGGGAATGTAAAAACTACTTTCAAAACAGTTTGGAAGTTTCTTACAAAGCTAAACATACATCTATCATATGATTTAGCTATTCTACACCAAGATACTTACCCAAGAGAATGAGAGCATATGTCCATACATAGACTTACAAATGAATGCTCATAAGCAGCTTTATTTATACAGTAGACAAAACCTGGAAACAACTCAAATATCAACATTTGGTTGATGTCAAATCATCAACAACTGAACAGATAAACAAATTGTTAAATCCATACAATGGAACACCACTCAGCAATAAAAATGAATGAATAATTGATACACATAACAACATAAAAGAATTTCATGTTGAGTGAAATTTATTATAGAAAGTAGATCATTTCAGAGGGAAGGGGGGGGTGAGAAGAGATTAACCAATGAACTTATATGAATATATGTGTAGCCCAAGGACAGACAATAATAGTGCAGGGAAGGCCTAGGGAGGGGGTGAGAGTGGGGCGGAG